TCTTCGGCAGAATATATCCAGTTGGGTTGCCATTCATTAAGATACTGAAAGACACCAATGAAATGCACTCTTTGATTCGATCATAGAAAATCTGGTCAAAACCCAACTTACCCATCATGGCTAGAATGAAGTCTCATTCCATACAGTCATAAGCCTTAGCCATATCTAATTTTATTGCCATACCCATCATTTCCGCCTTCGATTAATGCATGAGAGAATTGAGTATCTCATGCACAACAAGGATATTATCTTGTATCTGCTTTCCCGCCATAAAAGCCAATTGATTATCACAGATTACATTCGTCATAACTCTCTTCAAATGGTTCGTTAAAACCTTAGTAAGAATCTTATAGCTAACATTGCATAGAGCAATATGACGGAATTGCTTTAAGTTCTTTGAGCACGCCACTTTCAGGATAAGAACTAGGTTAGTGTGATTTAGATTCCGAAGAAGCTTGCCCGAGTGCTAGAAAATCTTAATCATATTGATTACATCCTGCCACACCACCTCCCTGTGGTCATGGTAGAAATTCCCGGATAAGCCATCCGGACCTAGAGCCGTCGTAGGGGGATTTGGAATGCCGCCTCTCGTATCTCTCTATCCGTCAGCGGGGCAGCCAGCATCAGATTATCCTCCGCAGTCACCCTAGACTCCATACAGTTCACAATGTGCTCCAGCTGGCTTGGCCGATAGGACCGAAATAGGTTGGAAAAGTACCTTACCGCAATCGTTGCCATTTCATCCTGACTTTCTTGCCAATTACCGTGAGCATCTTCTAACCCCCGAATCTGGTTGTACCTCTGTCTTTTCATAGTTTGGGCGTGAAAAAACTTGGTGTTCTTATCACCCTCATTAAGCCATTGAACTCTGGATTTAGTCTGCCATAACTTATTTTCTTCCTTATGCGCTTCTATCAGCTCTCATTCTTTCAGCCGCACCTCCTTAGTAGAAAACTTATTTGACATGTAGGCCGATCGAATCTCACCTTTCAGGCGATCAATAGCCTGCTTTGAGTTCATCGCCCTTCCTTTGTACCACACTTTCAGGCTCCGCCCAAGGGATTTTAGCTTTTCACTTGGCCGGAACCCATAAGAACCATGGTAGTTCACTTGCCATTCCTCACACACCAAGTCCCGACACTCAAGTTGCTTACTCCATCTTGCATCATACATGAATCTTTTCCCTTTCCATATCCAAGCTTTTTCCGTGGATAGTCTGAGCATGGCGTGATCAGACCCTTCAAGAACCAGATGTAGAATTTTTGTGTCGGGGTACATGTTCTGCCAACCCATGCTTACCAAACCACGATCAAGGCGTTGTTGAATTGGTCTGGACTCCCTATTATTCCTCCACGTGAAGGGATAGCCCTCGTTACCCAAATCCATTAGTTCATTACGCGCCACAAAGCCCCGAAAGTCCCTTAAGCTAGCCACCGATCTGTAGTTACCTCCCTCATTTTCATCATTGCTCAGGATGTCATTAAAATCCCCAATTACTAGGCATCTCTTGCTAGCTCTACCAATCCACTGACTTAACGACACCCATTGATCCTTCCGCTTTTTCTCATCCGTGCTAGCATAGATAGCAAACAGGTGCCACACACACTGCTTACTATCATCCCAAATTTCCGCCTCGATCATAAAATCTCTGGACTTTACCTAAACCACCAAGGATGCATCTTTCCACATTACATATAATCCTACTCCAATCCCCCTAGGTTCCACCACGTGCATAAACTCCAAACCTAACTTTTTTTTTCAAAAAACTATAGCGACTGCTTTTATTTTTTAATTCCAGCAAGTTCACTATGTCGGGGGTGTGAATCATGTTTTTCTCCAACAGGTTATCCACCGTCAGGTCACTCCCGATACCCTGACAGTTCCACGCGATTAGCTTCATGAGGATTTGGGAGACCCCTCGAGGCTGGTCTCATCCGCCTCAGAAAAAAGACACTTCCGTGGACGATTGCTATCCAGTTCTAGACATTCTCGTGGACCAACATACTCCACCTTATTCTAAGAGCATTTTTTTCCGTTTTTGCTCAATCATCATCGCCTCAATAATAGGTTCCAAATCAAACGGGTTGTCACTCATGGTATTGTTACCCCCCCCCACATAGTTTTGCCTGTCATCTACAAAGTTTTGCCTGTCATCTACAAAGTTGGTTTATCCACCCTAGTAGGGTGATCCCGTTCCGCCTCATCTGGGGTTTGCATCATAACATTCAAATCAAAGCCTTTGTTACATTCCTGTAACTCACCAATTGCCACATCCCTATCCTCCTTTTCACATAGTTCATTGAGCACAACATGCTCGACACCATCAGCAACTACTCCCTCCAGACCAATTAAACCTGCATCAAAACCCATCTATCTAGCCATTCTCTCATCATCTTCCTCTTTTCTTTGGCGTTGGATTTTGATTGCAAGAGATGAGTCCCCCTGTTCCAGTTTATTCGACGACTATCGAGGCTTACTCGGCGAGATAGCAGTGTTAATCACTTCATCATCTTCATTAGTCGGGTTGACTCCCTCACTTAGTGATATTCCACCCCCGAATGGTGTTCGAAACCCTGTCCCTAATGCTATTAAGGGCTGCCCCAACTTCCTCACTCCCTCCTGCTCATCACTCCGATCTTCCTTCCATCTTTCGGAGCTTCTATCCCCCCCATTGGATCCCACAGAGCCTTTACTACGTGAGCCCATGACCAAAGGTTTCCCCCGAAGGTCGATCACCATATCCAGCCTTCGGAAAGCATATGCATCTTCCATGTCCCCTGAACCTGCACATTGTCCCCCTGTATCACTCTGAGTACTTTTGCAAACTCTCGTACCATGACCCAACATTCCACAAATTAGGCAGTATTTTGGTAGCGATTCATATTTGAAATCAACCCATACCTTTCCATCATCAGGGAAATTCACAAATGTCCCTCGCATAAGGGGTTCACGGACATTAAAATTGATTTATGCACGGAGGAACCTCCCAATGCAGTCACGGCTCCCCGAAGAATCTATCTTTCGAACTGTGCCCATCAAGCCCCCAATGGATTCCGCAACTGCCATGGTCATGCTAAGCGGCGGAACATTGTGGATCTGAACCCAAAGTGTACCCACAGAAAGCGAAGCCCATCTGCTGAGACCAGATTCCGATCGGTCCGCCACTAAGACCAGATCATTCCTAAATGTCCAAGGCTGGTCCGCATCCACCACTCTGAACAAGTTGCGTTGCCCTGCAAACCGTGCCAAGAAACAGCGCTTCCCAATGTCTCGAATGGAGACTCCTTCTCTTCCCCGCCATAAAGACATGAAACAATCGATAAAAGTCTCGCCATTCACTTCCTTGGTAGTGAGAACTTCTGCGATCAGGGTGTACTGAAAGCCTAGTAAGGCTCCCTCGACATCTTTCATGTCAATGTTGATCCCCTCTAGCTCCTTCTCAGACCATTTCAGTTTAGGAGCCCAAATCCTCAAGCTCCCTTCTATCGCAATCCCCCACCATGGCAGAATAAAACACTCAGCAAAAAAAACCGGGATCCCCAAGAAAAAACCTACAAAAACCAGGATCCCCAAGAAAAACCTCCCCTCACGCCCGTAGGGCTCTCGCCACAGATCCCGAGCTCCGAGAAGCCGAAGAACACCCTCAAAAGACCTTCGCAGACTAGTCTACCCCAGCATCCGTCGAGCATCGACCATCAAAACCTAAATTGCAGAGCAAAAACCTCCCGAGGCGATAGATCAGAGCCGAAACTAGGAAACCGCTACCACCTCCTTTTGAGGAACGTGATCTATAGTTCTGAATGAAAGGGAAGAAAGATTAGGAGAAGAAGAATAAATAGTTAAATACTCTGATTTCTCCTCCACTTTATCTCGTCTCTCGCTATTTCATATTTTATTTTTCAACATTTCGCACTAATTTTCAAGTTTTTTTTTTTCACTACAAGCGTTATTATTATTATCTAATGTACACTACATAGAGGGAGAGAATATTTAAATCTGAGACGCAATGGGTCGACCGGTCAAGGATGAATGCCTATTTGGCATGGGCAACCCACCACTTGCAATTTTCAAAGTTATTCGCACCTTTTAACCTTCGTTACAAACTTTCCTTATGCACTATTGTGAGAAGATACATTTCATGTTAATTTAGATTGAGTCCATTTGCCCAAGATGTTACGTAATCTTCATCCATTTGGTATAGCACTCTGGTCCAGCTCATTTTCCAGCATGAGTATAGCCCAGCTTCATTAACAAGTCTCAACTTTTGCTTAACCATCATCAATGAAAATAGACAAGGTGGACAAATATTGAATAAAACGCCAAAAAAAAAAAAAATTCAACCAATCACAACAATTAGATGGTTTAGGTTGATATTTCCCAAAGATAAATTAATCTGTTTGTGAAATCGAACCAAACCAAACAACTTTTCACAAAGAAAAGTCATTGCCTCCTAGCTGAGTTTAATGACTTTTCTAGGTATGACTTGAAATGCTAAAATTTTGTGATCAACTCTAAACAACTAACATAAAATCGCTCAAATCAAACTGACCAGTCAAGTTGTCAGAGGCACAAAAAACGATCTATTATACTTACACTAATAACACTACGCAACAGTGTAGTCGTCAATGTATCCTAACTCAATCAAAGAAAAGAAAACGATGGTTTCAAACGGTGGAACATCAAGGAATAAATCATACTTCAATATGATCCCAAAGTTTAGTGCCTTCGTGGCTACCACCCACACATTTATATAATTTCATTGGAAGGTAGGGGAGCTTTTGACTTCTAACACAATTTTAATACGCATAGCTTTAGTCTTAATATTCCACCAACTGTCCCCCATTCAATTAAGGCATCATGATTCCCTTCCTAATCACGCATCTATTTTTTTGACTTTCATTACCCGTAAACTAATCATAAATTAAGATAAAATAAATAATATTCCCACCAAACGCAATAAAATAAAAATAACTAAATCATTTGGAAATAAGTATAATTAATTAAATTAAACACCGCTAGGACAGATTGATTCCGCCCTCAATTTTTTCCCATTATCCATTTAATTAAACTACACAATTTTTTTATATATATATAAAAAACAAAAGTTACATCCATTCCAGTTCCACCACCTTCCTCTCAACTGCTGTGACAAATCCCCTCTCTACCCACTTTCACTCACGTTGACTCGTACACCAACCCCACGCTCTCCGGCGCGTGACGGTGCTCCCCTTCGTACGTTACGATCAGCATCGCCGGATCATCCGGAGCCCGCTCCACGTGTTTCCTCGCCGGGCACCCCCTCACCGTACTGCACTTGTAATATCCCCTGACAAACAAAAACCATCAAACATCAGGTTCAATTCTCACCGTCCGATCATATCATACACCCTCACACTTTTCATTTCATGACAAATCAACGGCTGATGTTTAAATTCAGTACCTTGGGTAAGGCGAGCCCTTGATCGGCTTCTGACCGTACTTTCTCCAGGAGTACTCGTCCGGTGGAATATCGGCGATTTTTGAACTAATCGCCGGCACGCGAATCGTTTTCTTCACCCGATTTTTCCTGAATTACCAGAAAATAAAAACAATAATTAGTTATTTATTTTAGTTTTAGTCGTCCGTCAAAAATAAATAATAAAAAATGTCTTTCCCCACGCGCGGAGAAAAACAAAACTTTTTACTATTCCAAGGTTGAATTTCTAGCACGCACCAGACGCATCCTATCGTGTCAACGTCAAAAGGTGCTCAAAGCTTCAACCATTAATGGCCCAGCAACCTAACCCGTTGACCCGTAACCAATCGGGTCCACCAAGCAAAACCGAGTTGAATCGTCGGAGGCAACTCGTTTCCTGGGATACGAGTTGCGTATTTTAGCGCTGGGAAGAGGAAGCTTAAGCTAAAATGCGCGGTTAATGAATAACGCTTACCTTCTCTTGGAGCAATGGCACTTGCCGGAACCGGAAGCAGATCCTGAGGCGGAAAACTTGCACGACGTGTCGTCGGAGTGGTCGTGCTCGTGACAACTCTTCTTAAACGGCGCCGTTGAGAGAGGAGGCTTCGCGCCGGACACAGCCGGAGCGGGAGCCAAGAAGATCGACGATCCCAGCTTCCCGTTCGAAACGCTGCCATCTCCGGTGATCGCCGACGACATGAACGACGAGCCTGACGAGACGCTGAAGTTATCCTTTGCGAATTCAATCTCCGCGCTCTTCGGGTTCGAGGCGAAGGCATTAGGCCTCGTGAAGTCGAGCGTCATGCTGTGCGGCTGCGATTGGCCGAAACTCGACTCGATCGTAGCCTGCTGAACAACCGCAGGAGCAGTTACCGGAACCGGCGCGGGAGTCGGAGTAAGATTTAGAGCCGGAGCTAAGCTCAGTGTTTGTGAAGGTGAGGGATGAGAAGAAGAGAAGTGGACGGGCTGAACCGGTTGAGCCGGACCGCGTCGGAACCGGGCATGGCCCGTCCGATTGAGGAGGGAGATGACCTTTTTGAACTTGGAGACGGTGTGATCGGTGATGTCCGTACAGTCCAGGCGGGCCGATTGGTTGTTTGGGTGTTGCTGCTGGTGGGAGAGGAACCGGATCAGGTGCTCCATGCTCTGCAATCCTTGCGATGCGGCTTCCTGGATGGCCTTCTGATCCTCCATCTTCGGGAATTCCATCAGCTCCACCGTCATTGTAAGGGTTTCAAGAATCTCCGGCCGGCGAGGTTGGGGAGGTCTCTCAAGAGGACATTCCCGTATTTGAGATTTTGGGTGAAGGTTGCGTGCTGATGGGGGAGTGGGGAAAATATAAGGGGGAGGGAGGGAGAGTCAAAGTGCGATTTCGATCGGACGGCTGAGATGGGTTTGAAGATATGTATTGGGGGGTGGGGGGTGGGGAGTGGTGGGTCCCGGAGTGGGGAGGGAGGAAATGTGAGTCTGAGACAACTAGAAACTGATTGCATTATATTTTCTCGTGATGGGAATAAAAAACAAAGGAGATGGTTGACCAGACCAGAAAAGGGCAACGGGTGAAAGTAGGAGGAGGGGGACTTTGGAGTTTAATAAAGTTTCTACTGTTTGGTTACGTGTTTTTGTATTACTTTTGTGTAGTGACTTTTGATTACGTGAATCAAATTTCATATTTGTCAATTACGTGTCATTAATATAAAATAATTAAATAATTAATCATTAAGTTATAATTTATTTATTAACAAATACGTCATATAGTTTACAAAAAATAATTTAAATGGTCTCTCTAGCATCACTCTTTATTTGGTTAGGAGTATGATAATAATTTATATAACGTGTTTACTGCTATTGTGCCGTTAAGATTCAGTAAAATAATAATATATGTAAGCTTTTTCCTTTTTAATACATGTCATTGTTTTAGTATATTGAGAAGTACATAACGATAAATATGTTCTATGTAATTTTAAACTGTTCATGAGTTTTACGATTTTTTTTCTTTTTTTTGGGGGGGGTTCAGAAGGTAGAGAAAATTTATAAATTAAAGTCCAAACAGACAGATTGCATTACAAAAAAAAAGATGTCACTTATGCAAATAAAATATGAGTAAATGTTCTTCCCAGTAGCAAATTATAAAATGGTACATAAAGGTAAAAAAACATGAAACGGTTTCAACTCAAGAACAAATCCTCCACAAGGGTTCAAACAGTAGAGGCCCAAAGGTGACTAATAAAGAATCTACAACATCAGATTTGCACCACAAAACTGAAAATGATCACCAATAAACTTGCAAACCGAAAGGAGAAGCCAAACCTCACTACGAGTTTTACGAATTGAGCATAATAATTTTTAAATTTGAACTATTTCGTAATCGATCAAACTGAATTCAGCATGTACTTTTTCACAGTCTAAACTTCGATAACCAAACATAAATCCAAGTTGATGCAAACTCAAGTTGTTTACACTAATTTTTTAGTCTTGGTCAAGACTTTATGTAAAGAGTTAGCAATACTCATGTTTTAAAGATGAAATGTTGCTCCACATGTTTGAATGCTTCAAGTCTTCCTAAAACAAAAAAGTCAATACTTTGAATTTGTGGGAGTCTTTAATAATTGTATAGCTATTGATATGTTTCTAGAAGTAATTTACAATGCTTAAGACTTTTGTAAAGGTCGACATGGAAGCAGAAAGTGATTTAGAAATAGATAAGTGAACAGAGAAGGCTGAAATGCCTATGTAAACCTATTCAGCCTTAAAAAGTAGATTGTCGTGACGAAACTACCAGTTGGTCCTAGGGGTAGGCAAACAGCTATAGGAACAGCGGGTTGGGGCAGGTAATTCAGGTTCGGGAAGGGTACATGGTGGGTCCAAAATTTCTAAACACAAAACGGGGCAAGGCGGTTCGGGTATACGAAATTAGTGCGGCGGGGCGGATATTAAAATAAAAGGGAACGGGCCCCCGACCCAACCCTGTTTCTAGCATGGAATAATAGACCTCGATCTCCTCTTATTCTTTTGTTGGTTTTGTCAAAGCTAGTCTTATTCTCTCTTCCCAACTCCTCTCGGTTCTTTCCTCCCAACTCCTCGATCTCTCCTCCTAACTCGCTCCCACCGTCCCATCCCAGCTCTGTACGCCGCCACCATCATCATGAGACCTCGATCTCTACTCCTAATTCGCTCATGTCTTCCTAACTCCGTCCACTGCCATCGTCATCATGCCTCGATCTCTCCTCCTGACTCACTATTTGGAAATCAGTCTCTTTCTCTTTGACGAACTCAAAGGGACAAACGACGAAGTCGAACAACTCGAAACGACAAATTAGTTATCTCCTCCATCTGACTCAAACCCATATTTGCAGTGCATGACTCTGCTCATGGTCCTCTTCAGTTTTAAGGTATTACGTTTTAGGGATTTAGAATTAAAAATTAAATTAAGGTTTTCTAGATTTAGGGATTTTGTTGTATTCTTAAACCTTAACCTCTATTATGTTCCAATTTCAAATATTTTACTAAATTGAATTTGAATCGAGTGAGTTTGAAACTTCTGTTGAATTAAATTCCTTCTTATTTGAGCACGACAAAACAGGGCAAAACAGGGCAGTAAAAACGACAACAAGGACGATGAATTTGTGTTGTCATATATTGATACGCTGCTGGACCTTGAGCTTCCCGACGACAACGAAAAGCAGAAGCTTTCGGAATGAGAAATGGTCAGCCTTTGCTCAGAGTTTCTGAACGCCGACACCGACACAACTTCCACTGCACTGCAGTGGATCATAGCCAACGTAGTCAAGTACCCACAAGTTTAGGAGAAGCTGTTTGCAAAGATTAAAGGGGTTATGGGATAAACGGAATAGGAGGTGTTGGAAGAGGTCCTACATAAGTTGCCGTATCTGAAAGCCGTGATCTTAGAGGGGTTGAGGCGCCACTTGCCGGGTACGTAGTGAAACAGCTCATGTGCTGTTGCAATGCTACCGTGCTAAAAACAAAATTGACTCGTGGACCCGCCTCAAATCGGCTTGTGGTTCAGGTCCGGTTCCAAAACTCAAAATCCTTCTACCCGGTCCGGCCCGTCCCATTACTGTTTAAAACGAGTAAGGTTCAGTTCCTTCAAAATTGGGCCCAACCCTAGTTGTTCCTTTTTAAAATATATTTATAATTACTAACTAAAAACTAGAGCATATGGATGTTCAAGTCAAATTAATCAAATCTTAGTTGTCCTACTCTTGGAAAATGACTAACATATTTCTAGTGAATTGAAATGGTAAAACTTGAATAGTAACCATTTTACTAAAAATAGTATTTGTTGACCTACATCAACATATTTCAATTTTGAAAATAATATTATTATATTTAGGGAAATAGAAAAATTATTGATGCCTAAAATACAATTTAAAAAGATAATAATTTTTCTAATACGTACAATGTAATCTACATTGATGATTTAATAAATGAGTTAAACTGCACAATAAACTAGCAACAACTATTTAATTTGAATTGTATTCAGCGAAAATCAAACTTAATAATTTTTCCAAACAAATTGCAAAAGACTTTTGTAAGAAAGACCAAACATGACCTGAAAAGACAAGAATTTGAATGTGTGACCAATTGCAATCCTATTATTTGTTTCAAGTAAATAGATATCCCATAAAAGTTAATTTAAAATCATTGACTAACCTTTTTCTTTTCTTAAAAAATATTACCCGTCTGATTTATTCTTTGAACCGTCTAACGGTTGAATCATGAGATAAGAGTTGACTGATACTTTGGTTTTATTTATGCGGGGTGAAAACACTTTGAGTTTTAGGGCTTGTTTGGTATCCAATTCAAATCCAACCTTTAAGGCTCAAATACAGATTTTGAGTCCAAAATAAAATTGCATAGAACTGTTTGGTATCCAACACAAAATTGCTCATTTGCTCTCACCTTCTCTACAAAACTCTCTTTAAAGTATGATAAAAAAAATTTCTTTGAGAAACTTTTTCATACTACAGTTTATAAGTTTAGTGTTCAACCTTATAGATGACGATTTTATACTAAATTATGTAGCTTAACTTAGATTCACTGCTCTTCAATGTCAAATATCGTTAGAAAAAAAAAAGTTTAACTAACTATATTTTTGAAGAATAGTACGATATTTCATTAATTGAAAAAAAAAGGTATTACAAATACATATCATGAATAACTCAATCCCTAAAAGATCCATCTAAAAATATTACAATATAGTGTCACTAATCGCAAAGCAATGAGTAGAGTCTGAACTCATTGGGAACAACAAGATTACATAGGTTAAGAGAACCATTAAACCTCGTGTTACATGAAATTCATGTGTGAACAAAATTTCAAACCATACATTGGGATAGGGAGTACGACGGACATGGGTTGATCACATCACCTAATCATCGCCAAGATCCAGAACACCAAGTGAAGAAGATCCTGCAAATCAAACAGCTCCACCTTTTACATATAGATCCAAAAGAGGTAGCACACCAAAACAAAAATTAGAATCAAGCAACTCTCAATCAAACTAGCAAACTTTCCTAAAGAGAAAAATCAAAATCAAACTCCAAGACAATTCACAGAAATTATTAAACAAAAACAAAATAAAAGGATAAAATCATGTCACTGCTCCACATCTTTCGGATATCCAAGTGCCATATCATTGCACCAGCTAAACCCATAATGTTGTTTTGGCCAATTCCAATCCTGACACAATTTGACATCTTCCATGGCTTCTAGCTTCAACTCTATATCGAGATTGGTAACTAGACCCAAATCTTGTGTAAACTGTGTGCGTGGGCCAAAAGACGACGACTATCATGACAACTACAACATTTCACAGGGACAATTCTACACCAAACAAAGTAAACAGAAAGAGAGAAAGAAGAAACTAAGAATGATTTTCAAGAAGACTGCCGCCAACCTCAAAGCCAAACCAACAGCCCTGATAGAGAATTTTTCTCTGGTTTTTGTCTATATGGCTAGGGTTTTAACTAATTACTTGTACATGTATAATTCCATGCTCATGCGGATTTTAGTAATAGTGTATTGAAATCTTGATAACGTCTATTGATTAATATGTATATTTGTGTAAATTTTTTATATTCATACTAGTAAAAGAAGTACTATGATCCAAAACCCAATATTTTCTTTTGGTGAATAAAACTGGAGAATGTTTTTTTAACAATCATGTGACACTCCACACCTTAGATAATTGATATACATAAGAACAACTCCAGCCCTACCCAATTGATATACTTTGGGTAAATTACACAAAACTACCTCAATTATGGGTCGAACCA